TAGATGGATCAAATATGCAAGTTTGGAGGCTAGTGGAATTAGAGGGGGAATTTTAATGTTATGGGACAATAGGGCCTGGAAAGGCGACATTGTGGAAACTGATATGTACACTTTGACTTGTAAATTTGAGTCTCAATTGTATAACTACTCTTGCCATATCACAGGGGTGTATGCCCCTAATTGTTATATAGAAAGAAGGTCTGTTTGGGTGGAATTGGGGGCTATAAGGGGAATAATAGAAGGACCTTGGGCTGTATGTGGTGATTTTAATGTAGTAAGGTTCATCTCAGAGAAAAGAAATTGTGAGAGAAAAACCAGAGGCATGAAAGAATTTTCAGATGTTATTGAAGACCTGAAATTGGTAGACCTACAGCTAGAAGACAACAATTACACGTGGTTCAAAGGGGACAATCTCGAGGCAGCCTCTAGAATTGATAGAATTTTGATATCAGAAGAGTGGGATGTCAGCTTCAATAACATAAGGCAAAATGTTCTACAGAGACTCATACCAGACCATAGTCCTGTAGCATTACAAGGGGGTGTATGGAACAAAAAGAAGAAGCACTTTAAGTTTGAAAATTGGTGGCTTGGCACAGAAGGGTTCACTGATAGAATCAGTAGCTGGTGGCATTCTTTTAACTTCTCCGGGAGACCTGACTTTATTCTTGCTTCAAAACTTAAGGCTCTAAAAACCAAACTTAAGGATTGGAGCATGAGTGAACAAGGGAATCGAGGATCAAAAAGTAGAGTTCTTCTTAAAAAACTATCTGAGTTTGATGAGATCATGAAGGGCAGAGGATTATCAGAATGGGAGATTTCAAGCAAGAACTCAACTTTACTAGAATATGAGGAGTTACTAAAAAATGAGGAAATCTCATGGAGGTAAAAATCCAGATCACTATGGCTCAAAGAAGGGGATAGGAACACCAAGTTCTTCCACAAAATGGCCAATGCTCACAAAAGATACAATAACATCGATCAACTGGTAATAGAAGGGGAACTGTCTCAGGATCCTTCAAGAATAGAAGGGCAAATTGTAAAGTTTTACAAGAAGTTGTACACTGCAACAAACAGTTGGAGACCTGCATTCAGGAACAACAATTGCCCCACGCTTAATGGTGAGGAAAAGATGCATTTACAAAGAAATTTTGAGGAATGTGAGGTTCTAAACTGTTTGAAGATGTGTGCAATTGATAAAGCCCCTAGCCCTGATGGTTTCACTATGGGATTCTTCCTTAAATGTTGGGAGGTGGTGAAGGGTGATATCATGGAAGCTTTTCAAAACTTCTATGATCAGGAAGTTTTTGAAAAGAGTTTGAATGCCACCTTCATAACCTTGATTCCTAAGAAGAAAGGTGCCAAAGAATTGAAAGACTTCAGGCCTATTAGCTTGATTGGAAGTATCTACAAACTGTTCGCCAAAGTTCTAACAGAGAGAATGAAAGGGGTCATGGCCAAACTAGTGGATTCTCAGCAAATGGCTTTCATCAAAGGTAGACAAATCATGGATGCGGTATTAATTGCTAATGAGACTGTGGACTCTAGACAGAAACAAAAGAAGCCAAGAATCTTGTGTAAGCTTGACATGGAGAAGGCATATGATCATGTAAATTGGGAATACTTGTTGAATACTCTGGAGAGGATGGGTTTTGGAAGGAAGTGGATCCAGTGGATCAAACAATGCATCTCCACAGTGAGGTTTTCAGTCCTCATTAATGGATCCCCTGCTGGATTCTTCAGTGCACAAAGGGGACTCAGACAAGGAGACCCCCTATCTCCTTTTCTGTTTTCAATTTTTATGGAGGGTCTGAATAGCATGATCAAAACTGCAAAGTTGAGGGGTTGGTTGAGTGGTTTTGAGGTTGGCATAAATGGAGATAACAGTATGGAAGTGACTCATCTGCAATATGCAGATGATACCCTTATTCTATGTGATGCTGAAGAAGGACAACTCAAGATTTTAAGGGTGATTTTGGTGCTTTTTGAGGGGTTCTCAGGTCTGCACATCAATTGGAGGAAAAGCTATTTGTACCCTATCAATGAAGTGCAAAACATGGAGTATCTAAATGCAATAGTGGGAGGGGAAATAGGTGTTTCGCCAACAACATATTTAGGGATGCCTCTGGGAGCCAGTTCTCAGTCTTATTAGATTTGGAACAAGGTGGTAGAAAAGTGTGAGATGAAGTTAGCAAGGTGGAAATCACAATATTTGTCCAGAGGCGGGAGACTTACTTTGATAAATTCTGTCCTTGATGCCCTCCCAACTTATATGATGTCAGTGTTTCCAATTCCTCAGATAGTCATTGACAGATCGGACAAAATCAGAAGAAAGTTTTTGTGGCAGGGAAATAATGAGAAAAAGAGTTATAACCTGGTTAAATGGGATGTTGTAATAGTGGGAAAGAGACCAGGGGGATTGGGTATCAAGAACTTGATCAGAGCAAGGCTCTCAGAATGAAATGGTTGTGGAGGTTTTGCAATGAAAATCAAGCCTACTGGAAGGAAGTCATTAGTGCAAAGTATGAAGGGGAAGATTACTGGATGACCAAAACTGTTACTACACCTTATGGAGTAAGTGTATGAAGGTCCATTAGATCCTTGTGGGATGAATTAAAAAAAATACAAGGATCAAAGTGGCAAATGGGGAAAGAACCGACTTCTGGAGGGATGTATGGCATGAGGCTGGCAGGCTGGAAACAGAGTTTCCAGATATTAGTACCTTAGTGTCACACCAGCACAAGTCCATACTTGATCACTGGTCTCCTCAAGGGTGGAACTTCATTTTTAGAAGACACTTAAATGATTGGGAGATTCAGAGAGTTGCTGATTTTTACAACACCATTGGTCCACTCAACGGATTGGAGGGTGGTCAGGATACTTTATGGTGGAAGGGCAACAAAAAAGGTATTTTCAAGGTGAATTGTGCTTATAACTGGTTGAACAACTCCTACCAGTTGACAACTAACTGGCCTTGGAAAGGAATCTGGAAATCCAAAATACCCCTCAAAGTATCATGTTTTGTGTGGTTATTGGCTAAGGAAGCAGTTCTGACCCAAGACAACCTAATGAAGAGAGGGATTCCATTGTGCTCAATGTGCCTATTTTGTGGGGAAACTGCTGAGACAGTTAACCATCTTTTTCTACACTGTAGAGTAACTAGCCAGCTGTGGAGACTATTCCTAAATCTCTAGGGCATGTCATGGGTAATGCCAAGCAAGATCACTGAAGCCATTCAGAGTTGCGAAGAAGCTGGAATGCAGTCTAAGAGCAGAGAGAGATGGAGAATTGTCCCTGCTAGCATTTGGTGGGCAATATGGAAGGAGAGGAATTCCAGATGTTTTGATAGTATAGAAAATAGCATGCAAAAAGTCAAGCTTAATTGCTTGTTGCTACTGTGTTTTTGGTGTAATCAATTATACTCAAATGACACTATCTCCCTAATTAATGTAGTAGACTCAATTTAGGTTCAGATAGCTGGATTTGATGATCTTATTGTAAATATGGCTCAGTACTGCCTATGTACTGGTTGTAGTAATATACAAAGTTACCTGTTTCAAAAAAAAAAAAAAGTTAAGGTGAAATTGAAGAAAATGGAACACCTTGGTATATATAAATTCCTATTGTCACTCCCTTTCCTTTTATCTCCTTCCAAGATTCTCCTCTGGATCAATATGTTCTCCTCAAGTTCTCCACATAATATCTCATAATTTTGGTTTTATAACTCTATTTTTTGATAATTCAATTAATTTTGTTGAATCCTTGCACCCGTATTCATACATGGATTCGTATCTCTGAAAGAGGGCCCGACCTCTAGATCTGCACCCGCATCAGACACCCACAGTCAAATTTGAGCAACTTAGAATAAATTTATAAAGATATGACACCTTAGCCTAACTCAATCCCCAAAACTTACTCATGATGGGAGGATTGACTGAGTCCATATAAGCAGACCACCGGTTCACTCCCCAATCAGTGTGAGACTTTAACCTACTTTAACATTCCTTTCATGCCCAAGCCCAACTGGAGCTTGGACTAGGAGCCCAAATGGGAATTGACTTTATTATGATACCATGTAAAATTAGGCTCTGGGCCTAGCTCATACCCTAAAAGCTAGCTCAAAGAAATGAGGATTGCCCAAGCCTTATAAGGAGATCACCAATGTGGGACTTTATTCATTCTTTAACACCTCACCTCACGTCCAGGGCTGGACATTTCAAGCATGGACAATTTAAATTGGGGGCCCAACATCGGGTGAGATGGGTCTTGATCTGAAATGGCACCTGAGCCTAACTCACCCCCAAAAGCTAGCTCATGAGGAAGGATTTCCCAAGTCCATATAAGCAGATCACCGGTCATTCCCCAACCAATGTGGGACTTAAACCACCCTAACAAAAATCATGGCCTTTCCTCTTTGATTTGCAGGTTGTAAGTTTTGATGATTGAGAAAAAATGGAGGGCTTGTTCCAATTTTGTCGTTCTTGATACACAAAACTCTGTGCTTCAGTGCTTGTTAGAGCTACTCACCCTTATTTAAGCCTTCATTTGGTTGAATGGCCCAAAATCTGGGGGTTATAAAATCTTGCAGTCTTAATTTCTTAGGGAAAAAATGACACTCACACTTTTATCTAAGTTCTGATTGAATGTCTAATGGTGTATGCGCCTTCTTGGACTGCTATGCATCTATGGTTTATTTCAATACCAGATTCATAAGTCCTCATTGAATGCTAAGGGCTTGTGCACATCTTTAACTGGTGCCATGATTTCTTTTAAGTCCAGATTCTTTTGAACAGCTTAGTGGATGTTAATTGAGATATTTGCTCAAGTTACTTGTGGATCATTCATTTTTTTTCAAACCGAGGAAAAAAAATTATTTGCAATTGAGCTACAACTTCTTACAGAAAATTATGCTTATTTGGCAGCATTTTAATGATTCTCCTGTTTGGTACTTTTGTCGAATAATAACACTTCTTTGTCATACTTCCCTTGTTTTTTGATTGTAGGAAAAGGTCACTGATTCTATGCCAAAATCTTCTCATGTGGCTAATCGTGCAAATGGTCCTCCCTATGCTCAATCTGTTATGTCAATGGACAGTGATGACGGAATTTCCTACAAAGGTTGCTCCTTATTCACTCTTTTGAGTTTACATTTAAAAAGTCTAGTGAAATTTGAGAACGAGATATCAAAAGAACCATGTTGGGAGTCTTGCTTTTGTGTGCGAGTTTAGATAGACATGCCTGGAATTGAATGTAGAGGAAAGTTTATGTAATTGGAAAGATGAAATGGATAGGGAATATGATTAGCACATCACCTTATGCCTGCTTCATGCCTAATCTGAGAGCATAATTTGTGGCATTAGTTGTGCATGACGGCTTGGTGAATATACAAAGGCCTTTAGACATTAGAATTCAACTTCTCTTTCTTCCCATAAGGTATGCTTTTATTGAGGTTTCCCTGAGATTACACTTGTTCTCGGATACGTCTGTTGAAAATAAGCACATAAAGTAAATGCTCAAAGCTAGAACAGTTGAGATGCAAAACTCAATAAGCTCAATCATCTAATTTTCATCTGTTTTCCTAGTGAAGTGCGAATCTCTATTGACATGTCTGATTATCTGCCAATTTAGTATTTCTGAAAGTTGACATTTATCAAGTACTTTGAACTCCACGACCTAGGGCTAGGGGAATCCTCTAAACTTCTGTTGTGCTAATCTATAGGATTTAACAAAGATAATCAAATTGTTCTCACATGGATTAAACAGCGGGAATCTATTTTATGATAGTGAAAAACTTAAACTAGATCTCCTTTAAGTGTTACCGTCCTCCATTCTTATTTTTAATAGTTACTCCATAACTGTAGTCTTCATGCAGAATTAAGTGTTGTTACTAGAGACTTTGTCCCTCCTTCCTTCTAACTTCTTTTTTTGAGAATCTAACTTGTGTGTTTTGAAAAGCCAAGTCATGATTTTCAGAAGTTTATAACATTGGAAATAATCAGGAATGCTGCTTATCACTTTGGAAGAACTAGTCCCTCAGTGATTGCGTAGAAGATTTCATTTAGTGTGGAGAATAATAAGAAAAGTATTTTCTCTATTCTTATCGAAATTTGATATGCAGTAAAGAGGAATGTAGCCTAGAAGATAGCATGTAGTATGGAGAGGATATCATGTAACATGGAGAATATCTGCTGTCCTTTTCCATGAATTAATCGTGGAATGCTCTTTTTCGCTGTGCACTTGCAATACTCACTAGATGCAAAATGGAATAAAGGAATAAAAAGAACAATCAGTATTTCTGTTGTGATATGCAACTGTAAAGTAACCTTGTATATTTTCTGAGTTCTCTTTCGTTTCTCTTCTATTTTTTGGTGGAATTTCTGAGGAATATGTGTCTATCTTGTAATTTTTGCAGCCATTGGTGGTACCACTGGACAGCTTCTTGAGCAAAACGCTCAGGCATTGGATCAAATATCTGCAAATTTTACTGTTTTTAAGGTCAGCTGATGCTTCTGACAATTTTATTCCTACCTACCTCACCTTCTTTTCTGTGAAAGGTGACAAAATGGTAATGGACCAAATACATGAACAAGCCATAAGAGTCATTTTCTGTTTTTTCTTTTACTCCATTTGATTATATGTTAATGTGATGTAGTTTGAATGATAATGGAGTTTTGAGGAAATTTGACTTGCTTATTATATTAGTAAGAGAACAAGAGATTCTTAAAAATAATTGGCAAGTCATTAGGACGGGGGAGACATCAAACCATGAGTTGAATTGGTTAAATGAATTTGAATTTTGAAAGAATGAGAGTTGCATTAATCATGTCAAACATTTTAAGATGTACTAGAAAGTGTCATAAAAATTGGGATGAAGGAAATATTATTTCCGTGAAAAACTTAATAATTTACCTCTGATCTCTTTTCTGTGAATATAAACTTGGATTATTTTATTGGGGGCATATTTAAGTATTCGTTGGTATGAAGGAAAACCAGCTTACATAAATAAACCTTGCCTCCAATGGGAGGAATTGAGGTAAACTAGACCTTGGTCTCATTCTTGTCTCCTGCAGTGGCAAGGTTCAATTCTTAAAGAGATAGTGTTGTATTCATTATGTTCTATTCTTGGAAGTCCTTTTGCTGATAAGAAATCAGAAACTCTGTAGTCTACATGCTTTCTTTGATTGCCTTTGACTTCTGCGAACCCTGTGTGTAGTTAAGGATCTAGAATTCATGAGAGAAATTATTCTTTGAATTCAAATCCAGAGATTTGTATCACTAATAAAGATATTCAATAGTAGTACGTTTCTCGACCTTTTGGCTCAGATCAAGTGTGGTAAAGATAGATGGATATGTACCCGTACAAGATTGTTACCAGTTTCAAAAAAATCAAGAGTGGTAAAGATTTTTGAACACATTGAGCTTCATTCGTTATTCGCCTGTTAATATTTGCTAGCAAGATCCCTTGGCATGAAGAAAATGGAGACAGACCTGCAAGGGATGACAAGTTAGTTGTGGAAGCAAATATTGGTCCAGTTAAATTGTGTGGAGAAGACAAAAGAGAACGCACACCATCACAAAGATTATTGGACTATGTATGACACACCGGTTGATGGGCTTAGGTATGTAAATGGGTAATAAACAGGAATAGTGAAATAGTATTGTGGCAATATTTTGTTGGCAGGCAATTCTATTAGAATCTTCCTTCCCACTTGCGCTCCCTTTCTCTTTATTTCTCCCCTTTCCCACTTTCTCTTCTTTTATATGTTACCGAATACAGTAAAGCTTGCAATATGATCAATAAACCTTGTTCCTGTAATTTTCGTTGTGTATGTTTATTGGGTGTGTTATGCTTGGTGCTTTTAATAATTTGTCCACCATAGTGGCCACTAAGAACCCCTCCCTTGATGACCCTTCGTAGGTAGACCCGTGAAACCCAACCTGGATTTTCGCGAATAAGCATAATTTTGAGTTTCTATGGATAACAATCGATGATGGATACAAGACGTGTTCCATATGTCCACATTGTCGTCTCACCTCTTTCCTCCCATCCTCCCATGGTGGAATCTTCTCGTACTTGTTGCACCAAGCTCCTCTTACCTCATGTTGCTACTAGCTTCTCTCATCCCATGTCACATCACAAGTCGATGTAGTGGAATTAGGATGGTTTGGTCAACCCCTGAGGCCTTTGATTTTTAGGTGGCGAATATTTTTTGTGCACCGTCAGGGTCAGTGTACTAAACTTCTTACACCATCAGGTAATCTCAAAAGCTAACTAACCTAATTAACCACGGTAACTTTGTTTAGTACATAGTAGTAATACTTATTATCTTTTTAAATATAATTATAGTTTAAAAAAAAAAACATCAAAGGCAAGTAGAATCCTATTTATACTCTTAACTAAGTATGCAGAATTCCAATTTGTTTACTACTGATAATTTCATGTCAAATTCTCAGCATTTGTTGATCATGGTTTTGGCTATAAAGGTTTTGGCTCATTTGTTGATCATGGAAATATAATTAGGTTCTAGAAACTTCTTGATTATAGGTCCTCCTTAGTTTGAATTAAGGTCCCTTCAATTTGATCTAATTCAAAATGCCTTATAATAGAAATCAATCATGCAAATTGAATACATAGAGAACTTGTAGAAAAGGAAACTTAAATCATATTATTAAGCCATGTAATAATATTGAAACTTTATTGGAAAATCATCATATAACAGTCAGAGCACATCAAGATTTCAGGTGAACATTATACACATGGGGCACATGAAGGCAGAGAACATAAATGAATGATTAGATCTTTGTAAAATTTGAGAGACCTAGGAAATGGATGTTTTGAAAGGGTGAGAGAGAGAGATTAAGAGAGGGGGCAAATTACTTAAGTAAAAAGGTAATAACCTGCTATAGCAGGTCAATGCTACCGGATTGTGTAAAATAACTATACACTGACAGTGCACAAAACTTAAAATCAAGTTAGAATGTATTAACTTTCTACGGTTAGCAAGGATTGAGGCCACCTTACTGGTCATGTCGTGCAATTTCAAATTGGACTTAAAATTATAATGGTTAGGGCCATAGAGTGCTAATCTATTGGACCTTTGGAAATTGGACTTATTAGCTCTAGGACACATGATATGGAGAGGACTGAATATAAGGCATAAATCCAATATCCAATCCAAAATCCTTAGTTTTAAAAATAAAATCCAAAGTCCAAATTAAATATCCAAAAAGTTTGGATTTTGGGTTGGCCCTACTATGCCCACTATTTTCATGGGACTCATTTACACGATTACTTCATTAGTTCCACTCTACTCCTTTTGGTAACCATGCTGGTGTGTCATGCACCTTTCATCTCATCTCATCCAATTTCTTTTGGAAATGAATGCTCTGGGATGTTCAGGCTTTTGTTGCTTGCCAAGTACGTTAACAAATGAAAAATTGCTCAAACAGCCAGCAAGAATTTTACAACCTTTACTGTGTCAGCCCTAGTGTTTGAGGAGGTACCAATGTATTACTTGCCTTTTGGAGTCGAAGGGAAGGAAACAATCTTGACATTGGTTGACTGCTAACCCAAATATGGGCAATCATTGCCTTTCCTTCTACCTTAACAGCTCAAACTATGGCTTCTTCGTTTGCTTCTGAAATTATTAGGCTACATGGGCATCCCGAGGTCATTGTCACAGACTGTGATCCCAAACTTATGGACTCTCTTCTGGAAAAAATTCACCGGTTCCAACGAAAACCCCTATCTATGAGCACTGCATATCATCTGCAAATGGATGGTCAGTCTGAAGCTCTCAGTAAGTGCTGTGAGCAGTATTTTCGGTGTTTCATGGGTGACAGCCCTCATGAATGGACACCTATACCTTGCGCCGAATATTGGTATAATACAACGTACTAGAAAGTTGCCGAGATGACAGGTTTCCAGGCCCTTTATGCTAGAGAACCTCCTACTATTGTTCGATATGTCATGAGCAGTAGTGCCTTTGAACTGGTGGAGCTGTATATGCTTCAACGTAATGCAGTGATGGATTTGCTAAAGCACAATCTTATTAAAGCTCATCAAAGGATGAGGGAATTTGCTAATAAGAGGCAACACCATATCAAGTTTAAAGTAGGAGAACGGGCATTTGTGAAATTAAATACCTATAGACAGCAGTCTATGAGATTGCAACCCTACCATAAGTTTGGAAGATGTTACTTTGGTCTATTTAAGGTTCTTAAGAGAATTGAAGACGTTGCCTATGAACTGGATTTACCAAATGAGGCTTGAATTACCATGTTTTCTATGTTTCCATGCTACAAAGATGTTGGAATGCCTGACCATCAAATTACACCATTGAAGTACAGGAATGAGCAAACTGTTTTATCGAACCTTGATGAAAAGGTTCTTATTGGGGGTATTGTCATGCAAGAAAGTGGAGACGGAATTGCAGGGGAGATGGGCTAACCATGGAAGAAAATATTTGGCCAGTTAAATCTTTAGAAGCAAGAAGAGGAGACAATCACAAGGATTGGACTTTGTATGAGGCACGGAATGATGGCCTTGGGTGGTTATTGAATAAAATTTTGGGGATAGTTAAATAGTATAGTGGCAGCATTTTATAGGCAGGAAAATCTGTTAGAATCTTCCTTCCCCACATGCTTGTGCTCTCTCTATCTCTCGTACCCTCCCCTGTTCTTACTTTCTCTGATTTTATCTGTTACCGATTCCCTTAAATATCAGCAGTATAATCAGTAAACATCATTCCTATAGCTCTCTGTATGTTTATTGGGTGTGCTACACCCTTTTAATTTTGAATAAATATTTGCCAGTGAGATGCCCTCTTTTTATTTCACGCACCCCCTGCATAGTACGTTGCAATTACTCCTATTATGCTGTACTAAGGTCAAGTCAGTTGTATTCTGTGTTAAATCCATGTGGATGGATTGTTCCTCATAATTTGCAATGCAAAGCATCATTTGTCCTTTGGTTATTGGTAGTATTAACATTTTTTTTTGGTTTCCATGCAGATCCAAGAAAACATTAACCTTTTCACTCAAGCTCGAAACAATATCTTCACCATCTTAAATGAGTATGTTCTGGATTATTCTTTCCCTTTTCACTGTAGTTAGTTGTTTGCGTGCATGCTTTTGTTTGCAGTGAGTACATGCAGTGAATCTTATGCCATCTCTTTGGCATAAAGGAATCTTAGTTGCAGGGGAATACATGCTTTATTAAGTGATACTTTTGCATGCGTGCTCTTTTATCTTATTTTTCTCATTCCTATGTAATCTATTTGCATCATTTATGGCTTGTACTTGTACTTCCTTTGTCCTAATTTACATGATCAGTTTCTTTTTTAGTTTGTCCCAAAAAGAATTATACCTTTCTATATTTAAAAGGGATTTTGACTTTTAAACTTTCAATTTATCTTAATGAGATGATTTATAGCCACACAAATATCTATATGCTGTCTTAAACCATAAGTTTCAAAAGTCTTTCTTTCTTAAATTTTGTGCACATTCAAACTGTATCACAAAAATAGGAATGGAGGGAGCAACTGTTATGATGAGCATTTAGCAATTCGTGAATGTCTTTTGACTCCTGTTGATCTCCAGATTAGTTAATACTTCCTCTGTTCCTAATTACTTGTCCACATTTCCTTTTTTAGTTGTTCCTAATTACTTGTCCATTTTGACAAATCAAGAAAGGACAAAAAAAAATTACTCATTATACCCTCAATTAATTACTTTGAAAATGGTAGAACTAGTTTTTAATTCATCTACTTCATAATTAATAGGGGTAAAATGGTAAACTCACTGTATCAATTATTGTTTTCTTAATAGGTGTGTCAATTCAAAAGTGGACAAGTAATTAGGAACAGAGGGAGTATGTCTTTTTACTTTATACTGACAGGATGTTTTTATGCATGATTTCTTGATCGCCCTCAACTGAAATGTTTGCTTCAATGTTTACTTTGAAAATGGTAGAACTCCTAATTACTTGTCCATTTTGACAAATCAAGAAAGGACAAAAAAAAATTACTCATTATACCCTCAATTAATTACTTTGAAAATGGTAGAACTAGTTTTTAATTCATCTACTTCATAATTAATAGGGGTAAAATGGTAAACTCACTGTATCAATTATTGTTTTCTTAATAGGTGTGTCAATTCAAAAGTGGACAAGTAATTAGGAACAGAGGGAGTATGTCTTTTTACTTTATACTGACAGGATGTTTTTATGCATGATTTCTTGATCGCCCTCAACTGAAATGTTTGCTTCAATGTGTCTCCTTAAGAACTTGTAGACAAAAGTATTTGACAAAGTCTTTTGGTAACCTTCAATGAAATTCTACTTGATATTTTTTTTTTTTTTTGGTTGTGTTTCTACTGCATTCTAAGAAAACTATTTGTTGCAGCTTGAACGATATGCCAGAAATAATGAAGCAGATGCCACCCCTCCCTGTAAAGCTAAATGACGAACTTGCGAGCTTAATCCTTCCACCTCGACCACCGTTGCCAAATAAATCATGAGATCCATGAGGCTTGGGGATACTGTAGATGCTTCTATCAGTTTACTGAAGAATAATAAACTAGTCAAGGTTATTCCTGTGGAAATATGCATCAATATTAGCTCCTTTTGGCTTGTTAGGACTCCATTTGCTCATCTTAGTTAATATCTAGTTTTGTGATTTGCTGTTGATTTACTTAAGTAGGTAGTTGAGCTAGCATGTAAATATAGTTAGTGTAGGAGGGATTCTTGTTTCTGTAAATCAATGGATGCAAATAAGTTCAGATCCTATGCTTTTGCTGCAAACTTGCAATACACCATTGCTATGGACTATTCAAATTCTTTCCCTTTCATATGAGACAAGAAATTGGATAACTCTTCGTTTGTACCTTTATTATTAAGCAACCATAGTAGATTGGAAAATTCTGTATGAAGCCAACGTACTAGTTTTTTTTGTTTTTTTTTTTTGCAAATGGATTGGGTCGAGCCCATTTATTGACTAAAAAATAAAATGGTGTAAACAATTTACATGGCTTGGGTCCAAAAGTGACCCAAGCCCAAACTTAATTTAAGCAATATCTAATTACACAAATAGAGAAGACAAAACTAAAAAAGGAAAGAGACAGTAGCTCTGGAAGCTTGAAAAGTCACCAACTCACCATGGAAGAGATCTTCAAGCTGGCATTGGAGATTTTGGAAGCACAATTTTGCGGTCGAGTAGATATTCACCTTAGGTGTTCACAAGTCTCACGAATACCATGAATTCATACTCAATGAAGACTTCTTCTACCACTAAATCGCGGGTTCCTTTTCTACCGATGGGCAGAATCAAAATTCTCGGGGATCGATCTTCATCTCTAAGACATAGTTAGGTTTCCATTTCTTCATTCTTAACAGGTTGAGCTCCAGAGGAACTAATACCACTGTCAAAGAAATCTGATCTGGAAATGTCATATCGGAGATGCCGATTTCAGGTAACAATCCTTTTATCGGAGACTATCTGACGCCTTGCCCTTCAATCATTAATCGGATCATTGGTTGTTGTTCTTGGTGTTCTGTTGCTTGCTGTAGATTCCATATTATTTTGACACTCCTTTATTCTCATATATTGTGTGCCCAGTTTTTTGAGTTCTAACAATGCCCTTCCTTTACTTGGTATTTCTCTTAAAGAATTGAATTTTTTCACCATTGGACCTGCATAACTAAAAATTATGTTAGTAAAAAAATATGCGACTTGATTGCCCTCTCTGTAAATATGTTCGACTAAGGCCCCAATTAATAGCTAATACCCTCTTTAAGTAGTTTGCAACAATTGCAATACTCCATGGAGTTTTCCACACTCCATCAAGTACCCTTTTACATATCAAAGAATCTGTTTCTAAAACAACATGCATTACATTGTGAGTGCAGCAATACTCTTGCCCAAACATTAGGGCTTTCATTTCTGCCATCAACACTGATTCCTTCCCAATATTTCTTGTTTCTACATATACAAAGTTGCCTGCAACATCTCTAATACAAAATGCACTAGAAAAGTTGCCTGTCAAAGAATCCAATCCTCCATCAGTATTACATTTGAAGCCCATTACAGGACATGTCAATCTCACCACTTGACAAGATATCACTGGTCTGTAATCTTCAAAGAACTTGACCATTAAAGGCCAATTATCAGGAATATCAGCTAACCAAGGGTACAAATACTTGGCTAACATAACCAAGTTTCTGTTGATTTCCCCCCACCATATAGATAAAAGATATCCTGCCTCCATTTCTTATTTTGTTCCTTCTTTTCCAAAGTTGCCACCCAATAAAACTAGGCACAACAACAATCAAAGGTTTAAGTTTAGAAGCACACTCAAACTTCCACCAAATATCACACATTTGTTTCAGCTGAACACCATAACATTTCAAACCAACAGCCCCAGCAAACATCTGCCATAGTTTTAAAGCATTTGGACATTGAACAAAAAGATGTTCAATAGTTTCTTGATGATTACTATTGCAACAACAATATTTCACTTCACTTTTCACCTTGATTTTTACCAAAACTTCTCCAATGGAAATTCTCTTCTTCCAGAGTCTCCATATGAAAAAGGAGATTTTGAATGGAATTCCCTTTTGCCAAATGAATTTCATCTCCTCCTGATCTGAACTTCTCCTTCTTAATGACTCCCAGGCAGATTTAATAGTAAATTTTTCATTGCTTGTTAACATCCACCAGGTCTTATCCCATTCTTCTGATTTCCCTACTGCTACCAGTACCATGTGAATTTGATTGACCACTTCTTCATTAAATATTTGCATCAATAGTTCATTGTTCCACTTACCTTGTATTAACAACTGCTTGACATCTTCATAAGTATTATAGTGTTGGTCTGATATAAGAAGATAATAGAAAAGAGCCCCTAATTGAGTCCAGTTATCAAACCAAATACTTGAATGACCACATTTTGTTTCCTACCATATGTCTTGATCCATAGCATCTCTAGCTTCCAACATAAGTTTCCAGACTTAAGAACCCCTTTGCCAATGTACCACTTGGGGTCTATGTGTTTTACAATACTTGTTCCATAGAAAATTAGTCCACAAAGACTTTTTGGTTCTAAATTGTCACCATAATTTAGTAAACAAAGCCTTTGACATATCAAAAAGAGATCTGAATCCCAAACCACCTTCATTTTTTGGTAAGTAGCAATCTTCCCAAGATACCAGTGCTTATTTCTCCCCTCCTCCCTAAAGTTCCATAGAAACTTTGCAAATATTCTATGCAGATCATGAATCACACACTTAGGAGGAACCATGGAGGACAAAAGATATATAGGAATACTTTGTAGGACACTATTGATAAGAATAACCTTTCCCCTTCCACAATTGTAGTTTATTTTGTACCTTCTTAATAAGTTCAGAGAAATGAACCTTCCTCTTTCTTGCATGTCCAATGGGACATCCCAAGTACATGATAGGGAAATCTCCTCTAGTAAAACCTGTAATATTCTCCACCTCTTGTATGATCCCTCTGGCAGCCTTCCTGTACATAAAGAATTGACTCTTCTGCTTATTAATCATCTGGCCAGATTCATTTTCATACCTTTCAAGAGTCTGCATAATCAATTTCAAAGAGATGGGATCAACAGATGAGAAAATGATTGTATCATCTGCATATGCAAGATGATTAATGTTGTCACTCCATTTAGGCATGCCAAAACTTTTGAACTTTCTATCCTCAAATAGATTGTTCAAAGTTCTTGTCAACACCTCAGCAGATAGAATAAAAAGAGCAGGGGATAGGGGATCACCCTGTTTCACCCCTCTAGAAGAGTGAAAGAAACCATGAGAATGCCCATTAATAATAATGGAGTACCAGTTGTTTACAATTAACCTCCAAACCTTATCTAACATCAAACTATTAAACCCCATTCTTCCTAGCACTCGAATAAAAAATCTCCAATTCACTCTATCATAAGCTTTAGCCATATCAAGCTTAATAACAACATTTGCAGGTTTTCCCTTCTTCCTTATATCAATAATTATCTCCTGAGCTAGCAATACATTCTCAGAAATATTTCTTCCCTTCATAAATTCAGATTGATGCTGGGAGACAATCTTAGGAAGAAAATCTTCTATCCTGTCATGTATGATTCTAGAGATGACCTTGTTCAAGAAATTACTTAAACTAACTGGTCTTAAGTCTGAGAAAGTCTGTATGATTTCTTTCTTAGGGAGCACGACCAAATTAGTATGAGTAATAGATTTAGGTAGAGTATTACCTTCAAAGAACGCCTGCACTATTTTGATAACATCAAGACCCACAATATCTCAGCAATGTTGATAAAACAAACCTGAAAAGCCATCAAGCCCACAAGCACTATCTCTATTTAATGCAAATACAACTCCTTTAATATCCTTCTCAGTAGGTACTGTATTCAGTGCTTGATTTTCAGAATCTGAGACCAGCTTAGGGATATTCTGAATAAGTGAATATTCCGCATTGTTATTATTAGCAGTAAATTGAGGTTGGTAAAACTTTATAGCTTCAGAAGCCAATTGATTATCACCCTCAGTCCACCTTCTATCTTCCAGTAACATGCTTTTTAGCCCCAACCTCTTTCTTCTTCCTTTTTACCAAATAGTGGGAAAAAATGGTGTTTCTATCCCCTTCAAAAAAACCATTGCAAATTAGCCTTATGTTTCCAAAACTCCTCCTCATATTGCAAGTACTTCTTGTGCTCAGCTTGGGCCTTTTGAAGAACCACTCTATTGGAGGCAGTAGGGAACTCTTTGAACAATTCTTCTGTTATTCTCACAATTTCCTCTCTGATGATAAGTTGCTTGAAAATATCCCCAATTTTTTCCTTACTCCATTTAGTCAGAGCCTGTCTGGTTCTCCTTTGCTTAGATTTGAGGTCAATAAATACATTTCCTGAACTCTCAGCCACCCAATTTCTCCTAACAGCCTCTTTGAGATCATGTCTATTTGTCCAAAAACTCTGAAACTTAATAGGTTTATGGAACTGTTTAAGATCTCCTCCACAAGTAAAAAGTAAAGGTGCATGATCAGAGCCAATTCTAGCCAAATGTTGAACCTCTACAGCACCAACAACATCCACCAAAGCCTGATTAATCACCATCCTATCAAGTCTTTTGAAAATACAAGCCTCATCATCCCTACCATTCCACCAAGTGAATGGGCTTCCTATAACCTGGACATCAAACAGATCACATGAGTTTATGCAGAAAGCGAAATCTTCAAACTCCTGAGGATATACAGGTAGACCCCCAATTTTCTCCTCATCACTCATGCTAACATTAAAGTGGCCCCCTACCATCCATGGAAGGGTCAAATTATGCCGAATGGAATAAAGATCATCCCACAAGATGAGTCTTTCAAGAGCAGAGCATTTGGCATAAACTAGGGTAGTAACCATTTGTATGCCATCCTCTAGGGTTAGTTGCAATGTTATTTGTTGTTCAGAATCAGCAATCACCCCCACATGTATATGATCTTGTATAAATACCCAAATCTTTCCATTAATATTATAATTAACATACTTCATCCCCAGCTTCCTCTTAAAACTCTGAATATTCCTTGTGTCCTAAAATGGTTCTAGTAATGCAATCATGAAGAACTTATGGTGTCTATTTAACATTTGGACTCTGTGAAATGCCTTATGAGTTCTCACAGATCTAATGTTTCACACAAGAGCTTGTACTTCATTTAACACCAGTTTTAACCCCCCTCTTCAGTGATGTTATTGTTATCATACCATTGTTCTCCCCTTTATTTTTACCTTTTAATCCTTTTGAGATTGCATGAGGAGATAATCCTGCTTCCCTTTCAATCATTCTAGAATTGATATTATTATTATGGTCATCTT